GTCACAAACATACATAAAATCAGCTTAACGTATAAACTTAGATTACGTTACATTAGTCATGTCTGAATTTCAGAAAAGTTTATAGCATGTCTCCAGACTGAATCAAATGCATAGAAGCACAAATAAATTTCAAATTTTACACCTCTAGATTACCTGATTAAAAAACCTTACAGTATAATGTCTAATTAACTCCTGGTTAATTTACAAAAATCCTCTTATATTCATTTGAAATATAACTTTGGACTATCTATCATACGCACATGAATGTACAAATTTCTTGCAGTAAATATACAGCTTCCTAAGCACCTGCCCTTGTCTGCAACAATCTCCACCTCTACCCCAACCCTCCACAAAAGAACCCCTCCAAATGAAATTTAATCTATTTTAAAATGACTTCTTTCACTTAGGAAGCAAGGAAGATAAGATGGCATTTAACGAAGTATTTGTAAAAGATTGAATACTTTTCATTTGGTCTATAAAAAATGACATATAATCTTTCTGCAAGACAGAAATGCACCAGGGTCCACATAAATTACAGCATTATATTATATATACCTATGTGTGTATACTTGCTTTTTAAAAAATATTATGGTGAAGATACCCCTGAAAAACATATGAAGACTAAATTCTTCGAAACAGTTTTGTAGCCTGTGGCATGCAACAAAATAGCACCTGAGAGGCAGTCTAGTGCAGTGGTTAAGAGCATGTTAGGTTAGACTATGCCTCCAGCTTTAGGACCTTGTGTCAACTCCTCAATTTATATCCCTTTGCCTCATGGGTAAGATGGAGATGATAACGGTATCAGTTTCAAGAGGTTGATATAATTAAGTGAGGGCAAAATGACTTTGATCTTGGTAAGTACTCGGTGAGTGCCCAAGATAAAGTGAGGACTTGATAAATGTTTGCTTTTATTATAATTTCATCTCAAAAACTATATTTCCTAAGGCAAAATAGGTTGCTTGTGTTCAAAATCCTCTTTATAGACTGAACATTATTCACGTTAGGTGTTTAAGGGTCACATCATTTGCAAAGTTAACAGTAAATATTAATATTTTCATTTGTGAAAACTATTTGGACAGTGATATACCCATAAATTGGGAAATATCCAGATACAAATATTAAT